GTTGTCTAACCTTGAATTCCATAAGCCTTATACAACTGTGTTCTTGGTATGAATCTAATATTCGTATTTTGCTGGTGTATTTATTCATTTCCATACTTATTGTTTTCCCCTCTGTGGAAGACATTGGTAATGAGTCCTGAACCAGTTGGCAGAGTGGAGTGAGGAGAAAGGAGGGTGGCTTCTGGAATGCCAGCAAGAGCTGACCTGAAATGTATACAGGTCTTCCCCTTGGCAGACCTTTGATTTACATGGGTCTGATTCAGTTAGTGGGCCAGGCCTCTGTGATGCAAAATGAAAGGACAGATGAGTTACGAAAAAATATAACAAAGTGTGAAGGAAAAGAAAGATTCATGGCCTTGTCCAGAAAGATGGTAAAAATGTGAGTATGCCTCTGTGAACTTAAGGAATACAACTCTGTTGGATTTTGGATTTTCTATTTAGTACTAATAAGGTAGAAAACACATAGCACTTAACAGGTCATGATATAAAGTCAAACACATTAAAGTCATATTCTAGGACTTCTTTTCATTTTTAAAATATAGTTTACGCTGTAATTTGAAAACAATAAAAAAGATACCATTTACTGCCATAGTCTTTAGCTCCATGGCTAATTATGGCTCCCCAGAATTGACTGAATGGATCCAAAGGAAAGGAGCCAGTAAGTGGGGAACTGCAGCACCTGGCTGGGTGGAAGAATTCATTTAACAGGATGTAAGCTTTTTATTTATTTTATTTTTTATTTTTTGTAGCTGTGATCTGGCATTTGTAAAACGTGGTGTGGCCCCTTTGAGAATCTATTTGCTCACAGTTCAGGATGCTGTACCACCCACACTTAGACAGATAAGCTCCGTAATGAATGAGAACGTTTCCCTGGAGACATAGAAGTAACTCTACTGGTGAAATCTCAGCACCCACTGGGTCTAGAGTAATGCCAACTAGAGTAGCCTGGCCCTGGGGCATGACTGCTGTCCCCCCACTCCAAGCTCTCAGTGTTTCCTGGGCCTCTGTAGGGAGCAGACTGTGGCACGCCCCTGATGACCGGCCCACACAGTGGTGTCAGCTTTTGGACCACGCAGTGCGACGCTAGCTCAACAACTTTCCAGTGTTGGCTTCCCTGTTTTTTTAACCTGCACAATCAAGAAAAACAAAACACAGAAAGGCAGAATTCACAATCACTCCAAAGGAATGATTCAGCTGTCTTTGAGAGACAACCATGTATAGGCAAGCTGATGCCCAAGATAGAATGTTTTTGAAAAGGGTCTTCTTGTGTTTTGTTTTTACTGTTTGTGTGTTCTGACTACAGACTGGAAATATCAGAAAGATCTTGAAAATCCTAGCCTATTGATGGTACAGAGCAGCTAATGACCAGATCACTCTAGTGATCAGTCTGTAAGAAAACGCATCATTATTGCGGGGAGCAGTCCCCCAGGGCTTCTTGGGTTTCTGCACATCTGTGAGGGTGGTGCTCACTGCCCTTTTGTCTGGGTGAACTTTTTGAGAGAGTTGTAGAGAAGATTTGCTTTTTATCCAGTATTAAACACAGTGTCTCCCTTTGGGACGAAAGGGAGGTTTGCTTACAGACCCTTATGAAAGATTCATGATCACCACACTTGGGGTCCTTACTTGGGATGCAGATGTATAGTGTCCAGCCTAGTTCACCCGCTTCATCCTGAGGCAGTGAGGATACAGGACACTTGCATCATCCTGGTGTCCATGCTGCTTTCTGCCTGGACTCTGAGTCATGCTGTCCTATGTCTCTGACCCGTGGGTCTTGTGTCCTCTGCCTGCATCCGTGAGACTACAGCAGACTGATCTGGTAGCTTTCCAGCTGAGCAGTCAGGGACACTTCTCCATTCTTGCGAATTACTCCACTTCTCTGAGAACCTCCTTTCATTACAAATTGGCAGAGAAAGTGCGGAAATTCACTGACAAGACATACATATTTAACATAATATTATGTTATATATAATATATATTATAGAGTTGGTAATTTGTACTTTCATGTTATCACACCATATGAATGAATGGAATTTTCCAAATATCTGTGGCTTCTTACACTATTACCCATAAACATCCCCCCTACTCCAGCCAATAAAAGGATTTTTACTTTTATCTGGCTGAATTTTATCTGGTGTTAGAACAGTTTATGATTTGTTAGCTGAATGTCTACCAGTAGCTTTCTGCAAGCTAAGAAAAAATATAAATACTATCTATTTTTCTGTATATGGAATACATTCTCCATAGTCCAGCCAACTCAGCTACTTTAAAGGAATTACTTTGTGATATGAGTGAGAATTTTTTCACATCTGCAAAACACAGTTTTCTCAGTGCATTTCATAAGGGTCACTTATGTCCTTCAAACCCTTTATTTTGGTGGTCAGGAATTGCTTTAAATCTTTTTTCAATACTCTTGAACTTTGAAGGATTTGTAAAATTACAAAAGATTGAGTGAAAAAAGTAGGTTGTATGTTAAAAGAGAAAAGAACCAGTCACTATGATTTCCATGCTGCTCCAGGAGAGACCTGGGCTCATGGGCAGGGCTCCACAGATACACCGCACAGCCGCCTGTCAGATGCACCCAACAACCCTCCCCACCTTAGAGCAAAGCTACTGCTGCACCCTCACCTGTGTGGCTGAGGACTGCAGGCAGGGGGCTCAGCTTCTATACCACTCACCCCAAATAGGATAGGTCTGGCCAACTAGCAGTTACATCATCTGGAATCAGTAAGACACTTGCAGTTAAGAACATCCTGGGTTCTAAAAACCTGGTTTGGGGATACTTCTCTGTTTAGTTGTACCCCTCAGATTTTTAGAGTTCACATTACCTGAGATACTGTATTATTTTCAGATGCCTTCAATGAGGTGCACTACAGCTGTTGTCTTCTGAGAATAAGCAGTCTCTTTACCACTAATGTTGGCGGAACTCAATGGTACTCGAAAGTGTGGTCGCTGGAGCTGTGTTAGTATTGTCACCTGGCAGTGTGTTAGAAATGCAATACTTGGCCTCTCTTCAAAATTACTGAATTGAAAATCCTGGTGTGGGGGCCAGCTTCCTGGTTTAACAAGCCCCCCACCAGGTGCTTCTGACGCACTGGGGTCAGGGGCCCACAAGTGTTGCTCACTGCATTTCAGAAAAAAGAATGAAATTTGCTTAGTAGGAAAAGAATAAATTAAGGGTGGTTTAAGTATATAGAGGGACACTGGTAACATTTACTGAATAAATGTATTGATTTTTCATTTAAGAAAATATATTTAATGCCTATTCTATGCCAGGCACTGTTAGAATGTCAATATAAATGAGGCATTCCACACTATCTCAGGGTCTGTTGCAGGGGTGGACAATCTATAACCTGTGGGCAAAATTCAATTTTCCAAATGTTTTTATAAATAAATTTGTACTGGGACATAACCGTATCTGTTCATTTCCATATGGTCTGCTTTTAGACTATAAACTACAATGCAGAGTTGAGAAGTATGGCAAAGGCCATATATATGTTTGGCAAACACATTTAATGTCTGAAGCTATAAAAAGAGCTTGTTGACACGAGCTCTAATGTTTAAGGGGGAATACTTTCCATATCCCAAGTAGTTACTCACAAATGGAGCTGAGGAATAAATGTGGTGTTCCATCATTCTTCTGTCACCCATGAAATGTTTTCATTGAATTTTTGCAGTAGCAGAAAATTTAGCTCCATGGATGTTATTATCAGGGAAAGTGTAGAGACTATTCGGCAAGAAGCAGAGCAATTATTGGTGAAATGCCTTAGTGTATGAAGGGTAGAGGGGTGGGTGAACAGATACAGAAATAAAAGAAGAAATGAAGGAAAATGAAAAGAAGATTTTGGTTGAGAAGTGAGAATACTGTCAATCAAAAGAATGTGACTTACATGAAAAAGCTAAAATAAAGGAGAATGTGCAGGGCAAGGCTGCGAAAACCAATGAGGTGAGAGGTACGTGTCTAGGACACTCAAAGCTGCATGGCATGGGGAGTGGGGTTGTCTCCCAGGCAATTCTGGGGATGCTCAAGAGGTGGAAAAAGGCACAAGGCTCTCGACTGGGCTGGAAAGAGTCAGACTCTGCTGCTCTGTGCGTCTGCAGGCACTCGCGTGCTTATAGTAGGAGTCCCTAGATTCCTCCTACTGTATTACATTCTTGCTGCTGACTGACCAACTGTAGCAAAACACCAAGCTCCCCTTTAGGAAGCCTGGGTTACTTCCTGGCTTCACCTCTGATTGTCTGACTTTGCGTAAATCCTTTCATGGCTTAGCATTGCCCTTTCTTCAGATGCGAGATACTATTGTAGGCTTCCTCCTGCATTCACATTGTGTTGTTCTGCTGGTCTCACTTATCTCTGAGGGGCTTTGCTAAGCCCCAGACACAGAGTGTTTCCCCAGCTCCATGGCTGAAAGAGCAAAGGAAGGGAAGACCAGCACAGGCAGGCAGGCTCTTCTAGAAAGGGAGTAGTTGACTAGTTTGTCAAAAACACATGAGTTTCCCTCAAAAGATTCAGTGCTGAGTTATTTCTAACTCATACCTAATGATAGATCTCTTCTGTCAGGAAAATTGAAGTTCCTATGGCCAGGATCCGCACCTGACCCTAAACTACTTGATAATGTAACTGGCCTACTGCTAGGCTCCTGCTTCCACAACCAGAGGCAATGAGCTTTTATTGACTGAGTCCCTGTGTAAAGATCCCTGCCCAGTGCTCTGGGGGGAGGCAGAGGCGGAGGAGGATTAGGGACCTGCAGACTGCTGGAAGCAGACGTAATTCTAGTGCTTCACCTGCCACAATGGGAATAAAGCTGGGTAATAAACCCTTTTACCCAAGAACGTTCCAGTGTCATTCCTCAGTCTCACTGAGTCCATAGTGAACTTGTCTGGGGCTGAAACCCTCAGACAAGACATCTTCTTTTGCCTGAAATCTGCATACTATGGAAATGTTTAGAGAGCATATGGCCAGCTGGGTGCCCCATCTGTGACTGCATTTCTCATTCTTTCAGGAATTTTTCTTTAAATGTGGAGCCCACCCGACCTCTGAAAAGGAAACATCAGTAGCTTTGAACCTGATCACAGCCAATAGTCGAGACATCAGCTGCATAACATGTACAGACGTCAGGTAAGGATCTGAAAACATCATCTTTCCCACTAGCTTCCTCCCCCAGGAACCTTCCTCAGGCGTTTCTCTTTCTTGAGGAGTGTCTGCTTCAGCGGGATGCTCTCTGCCCAATCTGGTTGTGCCTTAATGTGGTGAAACTACTTAAGATGCCGAATCCTTTGTGTAGTCAGTAGTCAAATAGCCCCCTAGGTTTATGTGGGGTTACATATGTCTAAAATCAGAGTAATCTGAGTTTAGAGCAAAATATAACCATATGTATTGATACCAGTGAGTTCTAAAATTAAAACATGATGCTAATGTTAGGAATGCAATAACAATTTATGACCAACATTTATTCTTAGAATATATGATCCATAACATTTTATTTTAAAAATATCTTTTTCATACACTCTATTCTTCCACATAATTGTCTGTATTGATACTGGGGTTTCATATGTATTCATACCCCCCCAATTGAAAGCAGGTAGCTAGTTTTGGACCTGGTTATTTCTAATCTCAGTGAATATAATGAAAGAAAAAATGTGGACATTGTCTTTAAAGAAAAAAGTAATGACTAGATTTGAATTATAGTTTAGGAGTTCAGGACAAAGTAGAGGAACCTGAGTCTGTGTAATTGGTAAAATAGATAGTTGAGAAGAATTCCTTACTCTACACCATTCAAATGAATGGTGTAAAAGAAATTAACTTTATTACATATTATCTGAAATTGGCTAGAATCCCAAATTGCAGTATCAGGGGTCTTAGCCCTGATATTAGGAAGAACCTTTAGTGCATGTCAAAATGAATTAATGAATAAAATCAAAGAATATTTTTGTTTTAAACTTTTTAGCAAAGACAGTTGTTTGCCCTAGGCATTTAAGTGTTGTCTCTCTTTGGCCTTTGGGGCTATATTAGATATCCTCTTAAACTTACCTGAAACTATGGTTTCAAATTAGCATTAAGACTCCTACCATGGTACTTCTATTATCTAATAAACTTAAATTAAAATGCTGATAAATAGAAGCCTAAAAACCTTAACAACATCTGTTGAACAAATTTGTTTGTAAGAAGGAATAAAAATGAGGCATGTTTTTCTTTTGCTTCATGCTTCCTGTTGCGGCAGGAAATGCCACAGTTTGCCTAAAAGGCAGCATTTCATGCCTTGGCAAGGTGAATGATTGCAATAGCTAATGCTTTCAACATGCAAGAAAAACCGCTGATTCTTCTGGTATTTCAGGAAAGGAACTGGGAAGGCTAAAAATGAGGGCTCATTGGCTTTGCAAGCACTAGATAATTCAAATCACTTTCCAATATTTCAATGAGAAATTCAAAACACTTTTCTCTAAGTCAAAATGCAGCTCACCAGCCAATAAACCAATACTTTAAACCTTCCATTAAAGTTGATAGAGATGGTATTTAAAAGAGGTAGTGTTGATCATATTATCTTATGAGCATTGCCCTCCATATATTCTATGGCTAAGCTGCCACCTTTATATTAATAACTCAAAACATCTTTGGAAGGAAACAAACTGCCTCCAAAATACACAGGGAGATAATTGCTAAAAAACAATATTGTCTGTTGTGTTAAAAACTTTCTGATTATTACTTTTGGGGTATTTTATAAATAAAAGTTACTACATTCAGTTAGACCAAATTATGTTTACATAATGAACCACTTGATTAAACAAAGTCCTTAGTATAAAGCATCAGAAGAACACCCTATATATGCAAGAAAGAAAACAACCCTTTCTTCTTATATCAACTGATTTATGCATAGAGATGTAGTAAAAACCTGTATGAAGACACCCCAGTACTTTGTGTTTACTTTGCTGAATGGTGTTTCTTGCTAATGCTTTCTTTTCTAATTTAGAAGTAAATCACTTATCAAAAAAATGTAAGAAATGGTTGCCTTCATGGTTAGTAAGGTTTTGGTTTAAATTTTTTTCCAGTATGTTTGTTTCCAATTTGAATTTTCTCCTTTGTGAGGTGTCTATTGAAGTACTTTGTCCGTTTTTACATCAGGTTCTTTGTTTCCATGTTAAGAGAGTTTTTTGTATATTTTGGAAAGTAGTCCTTTAGCAAATTTGTGTTTTGCCAATATTTTCTCCCCATCTGTGGCTTGTCTTATAATCTTGAAATTGTCTTTTGTAGAGAAAAGTTTTTTGATTTTAATGAAGTTCAATTTATTTCTTTCTTTCATAGATTGAGCCTTTGGTATTATATCTAAAAAGTTGTGTCATACCCAAGGTCCTCAAGGTTTTCTCCTGTGTTATTTTCTAGGAGTTTTATTGTTTTGCATTTTACATGTAGGTCTAAGATCCATTTTGAGTTAATGTTTGTGAAGAGTATAAGGTCCATGTCTAGGTCCACATTTTGTATGCAGATGTCCAGTTGTCCCAGCACGGTGGTTGAAAAGACTATCTTTGTTCCACTATATTGCTTTCTCTCTTTTGTCAAAGATCAGTTGCCTATATTTATGGGCTCTATTTCATGGCTCTCTATTCTGTCCCATTGGTCTATTTATCTATTCTTGAACCAATACTACTCTATCTTAATTACTGTAGCTTTATATCTTGAAGTCAGGAGTGTTAGTCCTTCAGCTTTGTTCTCCTCCTTGAATATTGTGTTGGCTATTCTGAGAATGTTGCTTCTCCATGAATCATTGTGTAAAATAACTGGCTGGGATTGTTATTGGAAGTTCACTGAATCTAAAAATCATGTTGAGAAGAACTGACATCCTAAGAATATTGAGTCTTCCTATCCATGAACACAAAATATCTCTCCATTTATTTAGTTCTTTAATTTTGCTCATCAGAGTCTTGAAGTTTTTCTTATATTGCTTTTGCATATATTTTATTAGATGTATACCTAAGTATTTCATTTGGGGGTTTTCTAAGTAAATGGTATTGGGTAAAATCCCACTTGTTCCGTTGCTTGTGTATGAGAAAGTGACTGAATTTTAACCTTTTTTCTTGCAACCTTGCTATAAACACCTATTTGTAGGAATTATTTTGTGTGTTCTTCCATATTTTCTGCATAGATTTTCATGCCATCTGTGAGCAGACACAGTTTTATGTCTACCTTCCCAATCTCTATACCTTTAGTCCTTTTCTCACCTTATTGCATTAGCAAGGGCTTCCGCAGTGTGTAGAAAAGCGTGGTGAGAGAGGATATCCTTGCCTTGATCTTAGTGAGGAAGTTTTGAGTTTCTCACCATTAAGTATTATGTTAGCTGTAGGTTTATTGTAAATTGAGTTTTTCAAGTTGAGGGGATTCCCTTTGATCCCTAGTTTACTGAGAAGTTTTATCATAAATGGGTGTTATATTTTGTCAAATATTTTTTCTGCATCTGTTGATACTATCATGTGATTTTTTTTTTTAGTTTGTTTATCTGATAGATTATATTAGTTTATGTTTTAATGTTAGATCAGGCTTGCATACCTGGTATAAATCTCACTTTACCATTTTGTAAAATTATTTTTATGTTTTTAAAAAATTTATTTGCTAGTATTTTGTTAAGGATTTTTGTATCTGTATTTATAAGAGATACTGGTCTGAAGTTTTCTTTTCTTGTATTTTCTTTGGTTTTGGTATTAAAATAATGCCAGCCCCATGAGGGAGTTAGGAAATATTCATTCTACTTCTGCCTCTGAAAGAGATTGTAGCGAATGGGTAGCACAGTAAAAACTCCATTTATTTTTGTGCTTTGCAAACATGTTTTTTATAAAAAGATTAATATCACTTTCATCTACCTTCTTCATAATAATTCTTAACAAGCATATAATAACTTATATTCAAGGATCTCCAATCCCACTAAGCTAATTTTTTGACCTTAGGAAAATAATATAATCTCTTAGGCCTTCAGGTTCTTCTTATAAAATCTAAGAATTGAAGTAGGTAATCTATAGGGCTCTGACTGGTTCTTAAAGTCAGAAAAAGATAGCAACAGTACTTGTTCACAGCTTATAAATTGATGGTGTCTTTTGAGAAAACACATGTTTGTGGTTCTGTCTGCTGACAGATGCAGAAATAAAAGATGAGGTTTTCGATGATACTGCCTTCTGGACCACACATATGGGGCTGTAGTATGTAGAAAAATTTATATGTGCTACTCATTTCCAGATGTTAGGCTTAAATTTTCAGCTACATGGTTTGTATCCTTTAACTTTGTATTTAAAATATTGTACCCTCTCTTAAAAAATTGAATCATTCGAGAGCCCATGCATCCAGAGAGGTCCTATGTGAGCTGGCAGTTTCCCTCCTGCCGTCCAGCCTCTCAGGCCCCTCTACTTATCTGTCATTGGGAGTTGATCTTCATCCACCCAAGATTATGAGTGGATAGTCTTAAGTTTATGAGTATAAAGTAATGAATCAAACAAAAAGCAAAAACTTAAGCCAAGAGCAGAAAGTACAACACTAAAAGGCACAGTGGCTGCATCGTAAGTATTTCCAATAGAAACTGCATAAGCAAGGTTCATTCCTGGACACCTCAGTTTGACTCAGGTATAACAATGTTCAGTCAAATAAAAGTGACATGGGCAAACTCACGGTGAGACTTGTACTTTGTCCCCGACCGGTCCACCCTGATTTTGGATTCCCCCATGGGGAAAATAGTATTTCTGCTCCTTGAATCTTATTTTACAATATAATCATTCTTACATTTAAAGATGTAGAATCTGAAAACATACAAAATAGAAAAGTCATTACTGTGATAACATTGGCAAAAAGAAAAGAAACATCCCCACTGCTTATCAACTTCTCAGGCTGCCTGGTACATCCCTGTGCTTCCGTTTACCTTTATTCACTGTTCCCAGTTCACAAAGCTGAAGACAAACTAAAGTAACCTGGTTTGCACAGTCAAAATTTAACCTTCCAGAAATAAAACCCATTAAATCTAAGAAGTGGTACTATCTTATAATTTTCCTCAACTCTTCCAATAAAGACTTCATTTTTTATGTCATTGTTGTTTGATATAATAGTTTTGTAATTTTTCTGGTTTTCAATTTGCCTTAAAATAAAATT